AAGATCAATAAAGAAGCAGACAAACCTAATGACATTATAAACCAACCAGACCTAATAGATGGAAATATACAAAAGTCCACCCACAGGTACCCTTGAACGAATTGGTACAGGAGATCAATTCATGAACTAGCACAGACACTAAGATCGACAATTAATAAAGGGAACCTCCTGAAACTGAGAAGGTTCTATAAGGCAAAGTACACAGTCAACAAGATAAAACGGCAGACTGGGAAAAGATCTTCACCAACCCCATATCTGACAGAGGGCTGATTTCCAAAATATACAAAGAACTTAAGAAACTGGTCACCAAACCACCAAATAATCCAATTAAAGATGGGGTACAGAACTAAATAGAGAATTGTCAATAGAGGAATCTAAAATGGATGAAAGACCCTTACGAAAGTGCTCAGTGTCTTTAGCCACCAGGGAAATGCAAATCAAAACAACTCTGAGATACCATCTTACTCCTGCCAGAATGGCTAAACTTAGAAACACCAATGACAGCTTATGCTGGAGAGGATGTGGAGAAAGGGGCACATTCCTTCACAGCTGGTGGGAGTGCAAACTTGCACAGCCACTTTGGAAATCAGTAGGCAGTTTCTTAGGAAAATGAGAATCAGTCTACCTGAAGATCCAGTGATTTATTGTTCAGCTAAGACTTGAGTTTGCTTGTGGGGAACTGGGAAATGAGGACATTTGTACTTTACAGGCATCGTCAGCACCCTCAATCATGCTCTAATCCCTAAAGCATCCCAGACTCTGAAAGAGCTTTCTAGATGTGTCCAGAACTACTTCCAAGTTTTCCCTAGGTTTGGCTGGCTGCACATGGCAGGTCCTGACATCAAAGGAAAAAGAACTGTCCCAGACTAGACAGAGCGTTCTTTTCTCACAGCGTAGGAGTCAACAGCTGTTTTAAAAGGCCTTGTTATAAGCCCAGGGACCAGAACATCCCAGAGCCTTTTTCATGGAGAACAGTACCATTTTCCCAGAGAAAGAGTCCATCAAGGCTATCCATACCCAAATGGAGAGAGGAAAATGCAAAAAAGGAGCAATGCCTGGATCTATAGAATAGAACCAAGCAGCACACCCCTTAGCCCATGCCAGTTTGTCCAAAGAACACTGTAGTAACCTTTCGATTTAAACATAGACACCAAAAATCTTTGGTAAAGTGATAAGTTCCAGAAGTCAAGGTGAATTGGTTTCAGAGAAAATTGATCCTGCAGGCAATAACAGTTGTTAAGGAAGGGTTTTGTGCTCCATGTGTGCTAGATGTTTTGTGTTTTTTCTTGTCAATTACATTGACAACTATTTGAGAGATGGACCACAAGGGAAAAGGCAGGTTTTAAGCACTACTGTGTTTGTGAAAGGACCCAAATCATGTACTCTAAAAGTTAGTTTCTCTCCTGGGCACCATTCCCTTCATACTGAAGAGGGGGGTGGAAAGAGTGTGAGATGCAGAGGGACACCAAGAAAACAAGGCAAACTAAGTCAACATGTGCAAATATCAGATAAACTCAGAGACTGAGGCAGCGCTCACAGGGTCTGAACAGGTCTGCACCAGGTTTTTTGCATGAATATTATTGTTTCCAGTTTAGTGCTTCTACTGGATTCTTGAGCATGTTAGCAAAATGGGTCTCTGATTCTTTTGGGTTCTTTTCCTCCTGTTTGTTTTTGTGAAAGTTAACATTACTCTTAAAGTTTAGACTATGCTTGAGAGACCAAAATCCCAAAATGCCTCTAATATGTAAGCTTGTATAGGCTGTACTCTAGCAGGACCCCCCCACCCACCCCATTTTTCCAGTCATTGAAGACTATTCTTAAATTGGCTGATCTTGTAAAATGTTGCTGTTCTAGCAAGAGAATAGGCCATAGAGGAAAAGCTGTTTTTGCTTCTTTTTTGGGGGGGGTTTCTTTCCAGACAGTGTTTCTCTGTATTGCTTTGGAGCCTGTCCTGGAACTCACTCTGTAGACCAGACTGACTTCAAACTCACAGAGATCCGCCTGCCTCTATTTCCTAAGTGCCGGGATTAAAGGCATGCACCACAAACACCCGGCCTGTTTCTGCTTTTATAATCAACCTTGCTTACTGTGCTCAATGACTGGGATGATTGCAAGACATATATGTTAAAATCAGACCCTATGTACACATAGACAGAATAAATTGTAATGTTGTGGATTTGACTTTGTAAGCCTTGGATTAATATGGCTAGGGGCTGCATCTTGGGAGCACTGCCATTTGCAGTCCTGGTGTCATGAGCATCCAGCATCAGTATTTATTTAATAAAGCCTCCTCTTATTAAAATTTATTTATGGTTTCAGTGACCTCCCTTCACTTGTGCAGTGTTACTCCCCCCCCCCCAAAAAACCACCAAAACAAAACCAACCAAACAAACTAAAAACCCCACTTTACTTCTCTGTCTTTCCTGCCTCTCCAACACCTCTTCATTCATTTTAGTGGCATTGGGAGCTTCTGTGTGTCACGCAGTATACCTTTTTGTCCAATAAGCCCCACGCAAAAATGTTCACTGAAATGAGTCATTGTCCTGATTCAAGGCTTCTGGTTTCTGGTATACCATCATCACTGGACCCTCACTGAAATTCCTCTCTGATATCCATCCCATGGCTGCCTTGAGTCAGAGAAATCCTGCAGAACCAGTCCCATGCTCCAGCAAGCCCTAGATGTGGTAGATGATAAGATGGGGCCAACCCAAGGCCCTGAATATGAGCCTAGGTAGTAGTTGAGCTAGTCAGTCCCAGGTACTGGAGCCCCCTCCCCCACTGTCAGTTCAACAGTGGAGCCAGCCTTTCTGTGTACTCCTGTCAACAAGGCTAGCTCTCCCATGCCTGTGTTGAGGGATGGGGCCATCTCTTCTGAGTGCAAAGGGTTAGCACTCCATGCCCCAGTCATTGGGGCCAGCTCTCCTGTGAGGGTCAGGGCCAAATCTCTTGCTGTAGTGTCTAGTCTGGAGCAGGGCCAGCTTTACCAGGGCCAGTGAAGGGCAGGGCTGGCCCAGCAAAGTCCTTGGGTTTTATCATGCATGTCCCCCTATGGTAGCATGAACCACAAATTTGCAGCAGGATCATGGATTCAGACATAGCTTTCTGCAGTATTTTGGGCCCAGATGTCACCATGAACCCTATGGCAGTTCAGGTCACCCAGATCAATGGCAGCATGACTCTCAGACATGGTTTGAGGTAGTTAACCAGAACATGGACATCTGCATTGATCTTGATGGCAACAGATGCCATGGACATCAACTCAGACCCTGGTCATGGACCCAGAGGTGGCCCTAGACTGCAGCTTTGGCCCTGATGTCACCATAGCCCAGGTGGTGGCATAGGCCACCCAGATCAGTATGGCTTCAGCAGCAGCATGACTCTGGAACACCAACATGGTCTCATGTGGTGGATCAGACCCTGGGCATCTTCATGGCCGTTGGTGGTAGTGGTAACAGGAGGCATGGACATCAACTTAGATCCTGGCTGCCATGGGGACAAGGACCCAGACATGGCACCCAGCAGCAAGATGACAGCAAGGCCCCAAGTGGTAGATGACAGATGACAGCAAGGCCCAAAGTGGTAGCACAGGCTATTCTGATCAGCGTGGCTCTGGAGGCTTGGACACCAACTAAACCACAGGTTGCAGCCCAGACCTTGGGCATCCATGTGGACTTTGGTGGCAACACAAGACACAGACTTCAACATAGACCCTGGATGTAGTAGGACATGGATCCAGCCATGGTCTTTGACAGCAGAAAGGTCTGGATGTCACTGAGGCCCCAGGTGGCAGCACAGGCCACTCAAATTGGCATGATTCCAGCTGCAGTATGGCTCAGGGACACTAACATGGCACCAGGTGGCATCCCAGGTCCCTGACATATGCATGGCTTTCGATGGTAACAGGAGCCATGGACATCAACACACAGACCCTGGATGCAGTAAGGCCATGGACTCAGACATGGCCCTCAGTTTCAGTTCAGTCCCTGATGTCACTGTGGCACCTAGTGGTAGCATAGGCCACTCAGATGAGTATAGCCCTGAGGTGGCATGGTCCATTGATGCCTATATGCCCACAGGTGGCAGACTAGACACTGGGCATCCTGCAGCCTTTGGTAGCAACATGGGCCATAGATTTCAACACAGACCCCAGCTGCAGTAGGTCTATGGACCCAGGCATTGCCTTTGGCAGCAGTCTGGGCTCAAGTGTCACAATGGCCCTGGGTGACAAGCAGGCCATTCACATTAGCATGCTCCTCACCACCTTTGCTTTTTCTGGTCCATCTCTTTTCACAGCACATGCTTCTCTTCTCCCCCATTTCTCCACCACACATTTGTTCATCCTAATAATACCCTCTTGCCCATGAATGATTTCAGCCAGCTCAGGCCTTGAGGACCAAGGCCGGTCTGTGGGTGGCTTCCACCTACCTGAGCTCTTTTCTCATGAGGGACAGAAAGGGGATTATCAAAATGGGAGTGTAAGTGAGAAGGAACTGGGAAGAGTAGGGGGAAGGGAAGCCATAATCAGGATATATTATGTGACAAAAAACAAATCTACTTTTATTCAAAGGAAAAAAGAATTGGTATGACCACCCAAATAAAATGAAATCATCACCATCAATACTTTCTGTGCCCACCTTCTCCTTAGATTCCATGTTTGCAGTTACTACTGAATCCCTTGATCAAAGGATCACGTGAGCCTTAATCAAGAAGGCTTAAGTGATCCAGTGTCTTATAATTACCATGTATTCATCTGTGCAAGTGAAACTCATGACTTAGAAATGTCACCACATGAAACCAGAACTTGTCATCCTGCTTAAAGTGCATTTCTCAAACAGTGTACGTTTATATCCTACAAAACACTAGACAGCATATAAAGTTAAGTAATTTGGACATTCTTTTTTTTTTTTATTGTTAACATGAATGGTGAATTTTAGTTAAGCTTGGCATTGGGCACATATATCACCCATTTGCCCTTTAGCTCCTGAACAATGGATGGTACATTAAGAAGGCTCCTCCACATCCGTTATGAAAATGAAATCTTCAGCGCCAGGTGGCAAGTTTTCTAAATACACACGTCGCTGAATCTTCCTCTCCTTGGCTCTGCGATTGATGAACCACATCTAAAATCAGAGAAAGACAGGATTAGTTTTAGCATTGGCTTCCACCCCCAGAGCCAAGGGAGAAAAATCACTGAACATCCCATTCATCTCACAAAAGCGAACACCAGCTGTGGGGCAACCTCTGCAATAGGTCATGATTTTGTGTTTTTCCAACAGTATGAACACTTCAGTGGTTTCTCTTTTATTGAATAGAAAGCTTAGCTTATGACTTGTTCCAAGTAATTGATGTTAATTCAATATATGGCAACTGGATGAAGGAAAATTTACATTCTGACGTACATTCTTACATTTGACCATCAGTCAAAGAAGAACACACTCTTCACTAGTGATACTTTCTCTTGTTTGGGTTCAAGGTATAGACATTAGTCTTTTCTAACTCAAGGGCAGAAAATAATATGCCAGTAAGACAAATATGACTCTTGAAGTGAAGCTTACCCTCCACAATTTGAACACAAACCTTATTTTCAAAGTAGTACCCTTGAAAAGAAAAAGAACTTTTCTAGCTTTCAAGTTACACAATAAAACCCTCATTTATGTACTTGACGCTGGGATTTGCAACCTATAGTTTGACTTTACATAATTCTGAGAAGTTTGACTCCTTAGAAAGTTAGCTGAAATTAGTTCAGCATTAATCTTTTTGTTTTAAGTTTTAGACAGTTCTTCTAGACTTGTCAGTATTTGTCTCCTCTCATACCCTAAAAAAAGTCTTTTTGGCAATGTGTTTGGTTAGATACAACACAGAATTCCAGAAAAATTAACATATCTATTATCATTGTACCAAGATATGACCATTTGTTCCTTATCCACTGTTCCAGACACAAAACAGAAAGACAGAAACAAAGAGTTAAGGGAAGGGCAAGGAGTATTACAGCTAGGTGTCTAGTTTAAGTCTCCAGCCAGCTGAGAGTCAAGAACTGCATCACAATGAACAACATATGAAGGTTGTGCAACAGGAAAAAAGAAAATGAAAGCATGGTAGTACATGCCTTTAATTCCAGTACTTGGGAGTCAGAGTCTCTGTGAATTCAAGGGCACCCTGGTCTACAGAGCGAGTTCTAGGACAGACAGGGCTACACAGAGAAACTCTGGCTCAAGAAAAGAAAAGAACACCCTGAAGAAGGCTGTAGATTGACTGTGCAATTGCTTTGTTCATATTTACTGACCTTAACTTTGCCTTCAGGCACATTCAGCGATCTTGCAAGTTCTTCCCTGTGGAAAGAAAACCACAAGTGTTTAGCATGCAGTGTTTTACATGAAATGCAATGTCATATGGTTTCTATGTTCATTTTAATATCACTATCCTCCCTTGCAACTCCCCAGTTTACTTTAATCATTCACAGAACTAGTCTTATTTCTGAAATGGTTTCACTGCATACAGAAGTTTCTAAATAAAAGGAGAATAATTTTAACACACTAATTTAAGAAACAGCATGGGGGAGGGGGAAAGCAAGGGAAATAAAAAAGAGTTGACAGATAAGTACACAGATCCTGAAAAGGTCCCCAGGCTTCTTGTGAGGAGGTCACCCAATAAAGTGTAAATCCTTAACACACGTGAACTTTGTACTATTAAAATATTTTGACACACTATACTCATCTCTCTATATTTTATAGGAATTAAACCAGTGTTGTTGACCATGCACGTTAATACTGACCTTGACCCCAAACACTAGGCACACCCTCCCATCCCCGTCCCCATCACCATCCCCGTCACCGTCCCTGTCACAGTCCCCATCACTGTCCCCGTCACCGTCCTCGTCACCGTCCCCGTCACCGTCCCCGTCACCGTCCCCGGCATTGTCCCCATCACCGTCCCCGTCACCGTCCCCGTCACCGTCCCTGGCATTGTCCCCGTCACCGTCCCCGTCACCGTCCCCGTCACCGTCCCCGGCATTGTCCCCGTCACCGTCCCCGTCACCGTCCCCGGCATTGTCCCCGTCACCGTCCCCGTCACCGTCCCCGGTACTGTCCCCGTCCCCGTCTCCGTCACCGACCACGTCACTGTTCCCACCAAGGGAGAAGACAACTAAGGCTTGTGTGTGTGTGTGTGTGTGTGTGTGTGTGTGTGTGTGTGTGTGTGTGTGTGTGTGTGTGTTGGGGGGGTGATAGGGATAACAGGCCCTTGAAGAACAAAAGGTACACCTCAATATGGGCTGAAGCCCAGAGAGGCTGGGGTTGGCGCCTGGTAAAAGCCACATACCTGGTAAGTACATCTGGGTACTGCGATTGGCCAAACAGGTTTTCCATTTCCTCGATCTGCTGTGGTGTAAAATGGAATGGGGTTTGCTCTCGACGGCTGCGACGGCGACGGCGACGACGATGGGAAAGGCGCCTTACTGGAATCGGAATCGGATTTCGAGCAGGTACTGTGGGAGGTGGCTCTTCCTGCTCAGTCTCCGAAGAAGATGAAGAATCCTCGTCCTCGCTACTGCTATCGGTGTCATCACTTTCTTCCGAGTCACTCTCACTCTCAGGACCCTCTGCATTTAGGCCAGACTCATGGCCTGAGGCTGCTCCACTATAGCTGACTCCCGCCGCCGCAGCTGAGGTCGAGGGCACAACCCCCGGCTCTGCCCCCTCATTTCTTTCATCTCCATCATAGTCAGTTAAAATAAAGTAGTTGTGGTCAAAATAGACCTTGCGGGCCATGACTAGAAGTGCTCCGCAGCTACACCTAGAACTAGGGGCCCAGGAGTTACTGACCTGAGGCCTACAACTCGATCTCTGGTACCGACCAGGCGCCAAGAATGGCCCGAACCGAAGGGTGCTAGCAACACGCACTACTGCGCATGCTCCACATGTACCTCACGTTCGACGCCTATCCGTAAGCACGTTCCTCACGCTCCCCAGGCTTCCCGCGCTACTCTTCACTTCCCTCCACAGGAGAGTTATGGGCTTTGCCCTCCGAGGCTGACCACCTTGGGCTTTCTGTCTACTTTGTGAGGTAAGTAGTGTTTGTTTACGCTCACAATGGTGGGCGTGGTCCAAAAGAGGAGGAAGTGAGGGAGACATTGGGAATGCGGGAGTGAATGGGTGGAGTGGGCTTAAACCTTCATTCTGGAACATGTATTCGAATGAGTTTTAGTTCGCGAACATGCGTGTGCTGCCTATTCCTCTTAGGTTGTAGAGATGATACTGGTCGGTGTATTGTGTAGAATTGCAAGATAATTTGGGGGTAGGGAAGGGAGAATAGTGAGAACACAGGATGTTTGTGTGAATATGTAGAACATTTTTCTTCTCCTCACCCTCCCGCTACCACTGGCGGCTCAGAATTGAATGAATGCAATCAGTTTAGTGGCTGCTAGTTCTTCACATGCAATTTAAAGATTTTAGGACTCGGTTTGAGTAGAATTCTAGTTAAATGACACTGTTGAAAAATAAACAAAAGACGCTCGCTCCCCAAAATAAAAAAATGATCTGCATAAAAGAGAATTACCTCAAATTTTTAATCTCTGCTATATTCCACAATTAATATTTGCCCCAGTTCTTTTTTGTCCTTTATAAATTAATTTACTTTTTTACATTCCAATCACAGTTCCCCTTCTTCTCCTCCCATTCCTCCCACAACCTCCTCCTCACATCTGCTCCGTGGAGAGGGTGAGGCCTCATCTAGGAAGTCTACTAAGTGTGTCCCACCATTTAGCTGAGGTAGGCACCTCTCTACCCCAACATCCATGTCTAGGCTGGGTATGGTATCTCTCCATATAGAATGGATGCCACTAAGTCAGTTTGTGTATTAGTGTTAGATCTTGGACCCACTGCCAGTGGACTCATATACTGTCCCAGTCACAACATTGTCACCTATATTAAAGGAATCTAGTTTGATCTTATGCAGATTCTCCATTTGTCAGAACTGAGTGAGTGATCTCTCACTAGCACAGGCCAGCTGATTCTGTGAGTTTCCCCATCATGGTCTTGATGCTCATATTTTGCTCCTCCCTCACGTTGATTGTACTCCAGGAACGTGGCCCGTTACTTGTGGATTTCTGCATCTGCTTCCATCTATTTATGGAAGAGAGTTCAAGGTTCTCAGGGGTTATGGATTGTAGGCTGGGTATGTTTTGCTTTATGTCTGGTGTCCACTTATGAGTGAGTGCATATTATATTTGTCTTTCTAGTTTTGGATTACCTCACTTAGGATAGTTTTTTCTAGTTCTGCATATTTGCCTACCAATTTTAGGATGTCATTTTTCTTACTGCTGAGTAATACTCCATTGTGTAAATATACCATATTTTCTTTATCCATTCTTCAGTTGAGGGGCATGTAGGCTGTTTCCAAGATCTGGCTATTACAAATCATGTTGCTATGAACATAGATGTGCAAATGCCCTTGTGGTGTGAATGTGTCGCCTTTGGGTATATGTCCAATAGTGGTATTATAGGGTCTTGAAGTTGGTTGATCCCTAGTTTTCTGAGAAATCGCCGTAATGATTTCCAAAGCAATTTGCCTCACTTCTTATCACTGCGGATATTGATGCAGTCCTTTACTCCTGTTGGACTGAAGAGAAATACATACATATTCAGGCAGCGTTTAGAACAGTATTTGGCATATGGCATATGACACCTTTTCAGAAAAATAATAGGTGCCTGAGTTAGCCACTGTTGGAAGTGGTGCCCCTCTTCCTCACAGATTTCTAGGGTTTTCCCTGCTCCTGGAAGTTTTGGCATTCAGGATTCATATATGTTTACATTATAAACATGATATAGATATAAAATGAATGGACAAATCTGTTTATAGTTCCAGAATAGGGAATTGTTTATTGTTTTTTAAAAAAAGTTTTCTTTGGAATAAGTACAAAGATGGAAGTATTTAAATAGCTTACCCAAAAGTTTTGCTTAAAAAACAAACAATGGGGGGACTGGAGATATAGATGGTTCAGTGATTAAGAGCACTTGGTGTTCTAGCAGAGAATCAGAGTTTCGCTCCCAGAACCCACATCAGCCACCTATAATTTCATCTCCAGGGCATCCAGTGTCCTTGTCTGGACTCTGAAGACACCAACACACATGTACATAGACACACACACATGAACATATACATAGACCTAAATGAAAATAAATCTAAAAAAATGGACTGAATCTTTAATTCTGACACCTTGTAGTTCCAAGATCAGGGAAAACCCTGTATTGTGACACTTCCCCACTGCTGACAGTGGTTAACTCAGGGACCTATTGCTTTTCTTAAGGCATTATATGCCTTATAATGCATTTTGAGTTGATTACTTGGCTGTCCATGGGTGTGACAGTGTAGATAAAGAGATTGAGATCCTGAATTTGCAGCATGCTAGTGCAGGAAGCTGGCGTCTTTATGGTGATGCAGAGCCACGGAAAGACACTTCACATGTGTGCTTGGGCCTCAGAGGACAGTTTTACCTCTCCAGAGAAGGAAGAGAGTAGAAGGCAAAGAAAGAAATAGCATAAGGAAAAGAAAATGGGATGGGCAAGTTCAGCTTTATCTACTAGGAGTCTAAATCCCAAAGCCTAAGCTCTGTATATCTTGGGACCTTGAATGAAATGCCTGATTTGTAGCTTCCTTAACCATGAAATGGGTATAACGTCAATGGCACAGGACAGGGTTCATTGAGTTACTTGCGGAGTTTGACCTTTTACTTCAACTTCACAAAACCAGTGTACCAGTAATGACAGTTTACTTCCCCTGAAAAGCACACCTCCAAACCTTTCTATTTCTTCCACAATGCTTAATAGCTCACCACCCAGGTTAGATTTTGTATTAGCTTTCTGTCTTCTGGTTTGCACCTTTTTCTTCCATTCAACAGCTTATGAATTCAACCCTGCTGTGAACCTGATTACACCCTATGATAGTTGTCCTTGGGTTGTGCTCAGGAGAGGCACTTAATATTTGTAAATGAAGTTGGCATCATCGTTTTCATGTATATAATAAAAAATGTAGTAGGCTACAAAAGCAACTGTACCAAGTATGTCAAGGAGATGATTTCCAGGCACTATTTCTGGCAGTGCTCACACATGAAGCAACCAGGTGGAGGGATGAGGCAGAGGAAAAGCTGAAATTCATCCAGGTCCATATAAGGAACACAGCTCAAGTAACACCTGAAATTTGGGAGTCAGCTGGCAACCAAAAGCGCCCTAATGGAACACAGCTCAGGTCATATGCTGTTGGGTATTGCAGAGCTCATGCAGTTTGGGTATTGTTCACACCTGCACTTCAGAGTTGCAGACATTGCTCCAAATCAGAGTACCTCAACCAAATGACAGCCTCAGCACTAGGTTAGTAGTTCTAGAGCTCCTGTCAGCATAGAAGCCATTACAGTATATAGCGCAATCAAGCTGCCTTTGCCAATTCACAGGAAGGACAGGGAACTGGAATTGATATATATATATCAATTTAAAAAAAAGAAAAAAAAAACCCCACCGCATCTCATACTCAGCTCTAAATGGGATGTCTCTGTCAAATCCCTACCCTCAGAACTCAGGGAACCCCGTGGAATAGGAGGCAGAAAGAGTATAAGAACCAGAGGGGATGGAGGAAACCAGGAGAACAGGGTCCTCTGAATCAACTAAGCAAAGTGTGTATGAACTCTCAGAGACTGTAGTAGCATGCACAGGTCCTGCATGGGACTCCACTATCCTTTTCCATATAAATTATGGCTTTCAGGTTAGTATTTTTTTATGGGATTCCTGAGTATGTGAACAAATAGGTCTTTGATTCTTGGGTCCTTTTCGTTCTGTTAGTTTCCTTGTCCAACTTTGATGTGATGGTTTTTTGTTTACCTTATTGTATTTTATTTTGTTAAAAAAGAAAGAAAATACACTATAGGTCAATTGCGGGGGGGCACTTTCTCAGTTGAAGTTTCCTCTTCCAGAATAACTTTAGCTTGTGTCAAGTTGAAGCAAAACTAGCCAGCACAGCAGTCAAGGCTATAGCTTCTTTGTGTTGTATTCATTTATATTATACATGGATATGATTTTTAAAATTCTGTTTGTTTGTTTGGGAAAAGATCTCATTGAGGAGTCCTTTCTTGCCTGGAATTTGCTATGTTAACAAAGGTAGCCTCAAATGTGTGGTGATGTTACTGTATTTGCCTTTTAATGATGGGATTATAGGCATGTGACACCATGCTCAGCACTTTTGACTATTTCTTACATAAATATGAAATATTGGGCTTTAGTTTATATATGAAAATTAGAATTACAATTACAATTCTGATGAAGATGGAATGATTAGAGACCAGGGTACATGTTATTGTAACATGTCACATAACGTGTTTGTCAGTGATGGACCGTGTGTTCATCAGTGTATACCACAGAGCCTAAAGGTGCGTGGTAATCTGTATCATGGGTATTCTGTGATGTCCACATGATGATTAAATTGCTTGGGAATTCTTTTCTCGGAGACATTATATGAACATTATTATAAGAAAATACAGTGCTTCTTAGTGAGTCACCCATGCTGGACTTTTAGGTTCTGGATATGAAGGGCTAAGAGATATTTCCAAATTTTCCTCAGTGGATACTAGGAAATCTCTGCTTCCATTTCTACATTTAAATCCTCCTGAACATTCAAGGAAAGCACCCATTTCAAGATACCTATCTCACCAAGGACAATATAGTTAGCTGATCAGTAATATGGAGCCCCTCTTCTGAAAGCACATCCCCACTTAATCTTTGCTGAAAGTCATTGTTAGTTTATGAAGGCTATCTTTCTCACCCATGTAAACATCAAATCCTCATCATAGAAAGGTGATACCTTCATCTAAGTGATGGTAAACATACTTGGGACCTATGACAGACATGCTGTCACCAGAAGTAGGCATGTCAAGAGTATCAGATCTTACTGAGGCCTAAACCTTGAGACCCACATAAGGATTGCTGAGAACCAAAGTACGTGATTTGCTGAGGCAAATGCTTTCATTGTCACATCCAGGCCATAGAGGTAGCACAGGTTAAGTGACAGTTAGTATTGGATGTCAATCTGAGCATGAAAGAGGACATGGAAATACTTCATAGCTATGATGATGCCAGGTGCCCTAGTGAACTCCCAGATATTACATTTCTCTGGAGATGGCCAAATGTTCTCTTCTTGTTTCTGAGTCTGGAACCTCTGGCTTCTCTTTACTTGCCCCAGGACCCAGGGCTCAAATAGGTACCCCCCAAAGTGTTGTGTATGCATGCATGTGTGTGTGTGTGTGTGTGTGTGTGTTCATTTCCTGATGTGACTATATATATCTGATGTGAACTACATATATCTGAGTTGGAAGACTGGGGAGAGGATGAGCACAAAATACTGTCAGGAACAGAGACCCCTGTCATAGTAGCAGTAGCAATGGAACATAATGGAAGCATGGAAGCAGCCAGGAGCACATGTAGCCTGAGGTCAGTCCAGAAGCTCGGACTTCCATGCCTTCACCTTGTGATCCCAGAGCTGAGAGAATATTTCTTCAGGTCTTCCTAGCCCCTGTGTGATTGTGGGTTAAGCACCATGTTCAATGGCCTGAGCAAGGCTGTTCACGCAAATCATTCCACACTACTTGGCTCATTTCATGCTTCTGATACCATGAGTCTGAGTTTTGTCATTTCCCTTCCTGTCTGCCTTGTGCCCCCTTCCCTCATTCCATCCAGGGTGCAGCCCTTTTCTAATCCTACTCATTTACAGTCACAGCTTCTTCTTTCCTTTCACCAAGTGTCCTGGTTCTCCTGTATGGCTAGCACCTCAGACTCACTGGAATTTTCCTCTATTTTCACTGCATAGTGTTTTTGTTCCCTTGTTGTCTATCCTGAGGTCATGGATAGAAGGAGCCTGACATCCAGTCTCTCCTGAGCATTTTTTTGAGACTAGGTCTGGACTCTGCAGTTATGACTTTGTGTCTGCCTGGTCCAGGCTTAGCAAAGCTTACACTCAGTCAGTTGCACTGTCCTGCATAGCCTAGCCCTCCTGATGTCTGCTCTGCATCCTTATCCTTGCACACACCCCAAAGAAGTCTGGACACCCTGACCTGACTTAGGCAAAGTCTTATTGTCTTTGTTCAGCTAGAATTCTGCCTTGCTAGGGAGGATTTCTCTAGTGTGAGTAGGTTTCCATTTACCACTTTACTCTCTGCCCTTAAACTGTGAATTCCCATATTACCAGGCTGCCATTTATTTTAAGCTTTATCATTTTACAGTGCCTGCATGTAAGCATGCGTATTATGTACATTTATGGTGTCTGTGGGGGTCAAAAGAGGGTATCAGATACCCTGGAAATGGGGCTATGGACAGTTGTGACCCACCATGCGGGTAATGACTGAACCCAGGTCCTCTGTGAGAGCATCACGTGCTCTAAACCACAAAGCGATCTCTCTAGTCCCAATCAGGTTTCATTTTAGTGACAGTGACATCACAGAAGAAGTAGCTAAACTTACTTTTCCCCTCCACAGTTGGAGCCACAGACCTGGTAGCTCAGCTTTTAGACCAAAGAGGAGACTTGGCTACAAGCTGTCTTGACTTTTGCCCACATCAGAACCTGAGCTCAGCTCCTTTCCCTTTCCCTGTCTTGAAGATCCCCTGGAACAACCTTACTTTCTACTGTTGAAGAGTTCAGTGTAACTTTGACACCCTAGAGCTCCTGGACCTCTCTCATCTGGGAACCCAGTTATTCATACCTGAATGTTGAGCCTTCACTCCTGACCTATATACTTGACATCTACTTATGAATCATAGTCCAGAAGCATGGCTTCAGGCAGCTTCTATAAAGCTGGTTAGGAAGGACATCTCCTGAGGTTTGAGCCTACTCTGAGGCTGAATCTCTGAGGGTGGGTTAGAGCCCTAAGCTTCTTTCACAAAACTCCTAGGCACAGATACTTTTTCTTTATAGCTTTACCTTGTGTGGTCATTTTTGCCAGTTATCGTGGTCTTGGAAGGTTTTCCTTGGTGGCAAAGAAGTCTTTCTGTTATATGACATCATATGATAGGTCTCATTTGAACAGAACCCTATTGTTGAACCCGCTACTGACTCTGACATACTTTCTAGCAGAATTTTGATGAAGGTAACTTGAACATTCATTGCAGTATTTGGTATACAGATATGCCAGGTTCCGTTCTCTTTTTCTATCATTCTCTCCCCTCTAGTCATCTTCAATCCTTTTTTCTCTGGCCTTGAGCCCTTTAATGTGTGCCTTGTAAATCCTTCTCCTTTCCATATGTCATTCCATGCCAGACTATTCCCTTCTCACATCAGACTCTATGCTGTCTACAATCACTGGCCATGTAGGCCCTCTCTTCCCTGAAGGGACTCAGAGTTGTTGACACTACTGGCATGAACCTCTAATGGAAGAAAGCCCACTGACCAGATATGGAGTACTTCATACCCTCAGATGGGCTTTGGAGAAATTAAAATTTGGCCCCTTGATCCTCACCTAATATACAGTCTACTGATTATTAAAAAATTCCATATTAGGATTCAAGGAAATCTGAATAGGCTTCTCCTCAAATATTCATATATGTGTATGTATAAAAGTGCTAATGTACTATTGGCTTTTGTGTTATTTATTTATGTATGATTTACCATTTAGAATGACAACTATAAGATCTGTCCCTCCAACTGTGTTTGTGTACGAGTACATACATAATACATACTAGATATTTCCTATATCTGATTGCATGGACTTAATTTATGCACATCTCCCTGAAGCAATTTACACTTAAATTGGCTTAGAAATAAATGGGCACTTAAATAAATTAATATTCACACACCTCACAGAAACAAGGAAAGGAAAATATGTTTTTCTCAAGTATACTTTTTCATTGTATCTCAAAATGAGAACTGGAAGGGTAGGTAACTAGATGGGAATTAGAAAACATTTGAACTGGAGACCATTAGCAGCACTCAGAGAGCTACTAGCTCCTTCCAAAACAAAAATTGTACTTCTAACAGCTGACCTGAACAAGGGGGAGCTCATGGACCTCAGACTGGTAGCTGAGAAACCAGCATAGAACCAACCAATATAGATCCCCTGAACGTGGGTGTTAGTTAGAAGGACTGGGCATCTATGGGCCCTGTAGTAATGGATCAGTATTTACCCCTAGATGAGCTTTTGGAGCTCATCTCACATAGAGGGATACTCTCTCAGCCTAGACACATGGGGGAGGGCCTAGGCCCTGCTGCAAATGATGTGACAGACTTTGAAGACTCTCCATGGAAGGCCTCACCCTCCTTGGGGAATAGGAAGGGGATGGGGGTTGGTGGGTGGAACAGGGGAGAACGGGAGGGAGAGGGAACTGGGACTGACAAAAAATTGTACTGGTTCCTAAAATTTGTTTTGAATATGCCATGAGTATAAATACGCAGTAGCAAAAAGATATTTGATTAGGGATGTGGGACTTTCTAGTGAACTATGGTGTCATAGGTGCCAGAAATGCACCCGACTTCTCAGATGTTAGCTTGAGGTAAGCCAGGCATTGTGACTTCTATAAAAGTCACCTTTGTTTAGAACAGTGGTTCTCAACCTGTGGGTTGTGACTCACTTGGGGTTGCTTATCAGATATTCTGTGTGTCAGATATTTACATTACAACTCATAACAATAACAAATTACAGTTATGAAGTAGCAATAAAATAATTTTATGGTGTGTATATGTGAGGGGTCACCACAACATTAAGAACTGTATTAAAGGGTTGAATCTTTAGAATCTTATAGAAGGCTGTTCCCTCGATGGACTCAGTGGCATTGCAGTCACTCTTCACCACAATTCTGTCAGCAAATTCCTAAAACTCAGCCCTTTGGGCAATTCTGGATCCTTGGTCAGTATTTGCTGTGTTCAAGTACCCAGTGCATGCACTCTGTGGTATCAAAAGCACATGTGTTCTGAGCTATAATGTAGCCTAGTTCTTTCTGTTACATATCCTCTCCACTAGCTTGGTTGTTCTGTGGCCTGGGATCCTGCTGTGAACCTGGATGAGTGTACCCCTACTCCTTTGCAATTCTTCTGACCCCTAAACTACCTTGTTTTGGAAATATGACTTGACCTGTTACTCAGGGATATCAACAAGCTGTGATATATCCAAAATATGGTAGAAACATGTAAGTTTAATGAAGATGATAGTGTTTCTTTTGTGGCCTCCTATGTTACTAGGTATCTTAAAGTTATGATGCCATATTAATTTCCAATTGCTTCCTTTGGGAGGGTGTAATAAGGAGCATGGCAGGCTTAAGTGTATATTTCTATATTCTTTTTTCTGTGGTTGTAAAGCAGTTTCTTCCTGGATTGGAACAGCCAATCCCACAGAAAAACTCATTAAGGAGTAAACATCTCAAAATAGCCCCAGGAAGTCCCCAAAACTGACTGTGTTCAGTAGACTCCGCCCTCCCCAAGGCTATATAAGTAGTAAAGACTGCTGAGAATCACCCTCAGACCAGTGAAGCAGCCCGAGAGAGATCAGTAGAACTGCTTAGAGGGAGCAAAGACCAGTTGAGCCACCTGGAAGAGGCGCAGACTAACTGAGCCACCTGGAAAGACTGCAACCTGTTGTTATGCCTTCAGGCTGTGTAGCTTGCTTCGGGTGTCCAGATTTTGTGAGCCATCATCCATACTGAGGTAGGCTTTGCTGATTAGGCTGACTTTGAGTCATTTCTGCTCCTGTAAACAACCCCTCACCCATATTCCTGTAACTCTGGTGAAATCCAGTTGTTCACTAAGCTGGACACTGGTATAATAGTTACTTCTGTCTGCGGTGGGATCCCTTTCTGTGGTGAGTAAACTTGTTGTTTTCCTAGAATAAGTGCATTTACAACAGCAGCTGAGTGTAAAAGGTTTCTAGGAGGCAATCAGAGCAGGCAAAGCAGCAATACAGGAGGTTTATATAACTGAGACTTAGACTCAGTCATAAAGGGTCCTAAGATACAAAACTCAGGCTTTGGACCTGAGCACCCACGGACCACCTCACACTACCGATTATCTCCTTGCTTCCTTGCTTCATAGCAGCCTGCCTTTTCCGTTCCTTGTATGCTCATTCTTACTTCTTTTCCTCCTCTCTTCCTTCTCAAATGTTAGAACCCAAGGATTTCCTAGCAGTGAGTGAAAAGGGAAGGTGACTGTGTCCTGTCTTGCTGACGCTCACATGCTGCAAATATTAGGGGATTTTCTGTGTTCAGCATTGCCATGAAGACCTCAGTTTCTCACTTTAGAAGGATGAGGTCTCAGAGGCTCTGCTTTATGTATACTACCCAAAACTGCGAACAACCAAAGAACTAATCTTTATAAAAACACACAATACATTAAACAGAGTGTAATACAACTTAGAAAAAGGTAGCATTCTCTTCAGAAGGGATATTCTACTCTTCCTCTTGACAGATTGCTTAGGATGATTTGATGGGATATACTTGGGGGGGCTGTTGCTGATTTATGAAGCCCTAGAGTGTGCATAGTGCTTAATGTACAGTAAGCTGGATATTCAAAGGTATTTTAAATGTTGTTTGAAAATTTTGAGCAGGCATACTTTTATAGAACTCTGCCTGTACCACACCCATTGTACATAAAAATGAAGCCACGGGGCAGGGGGTCTTCTGTAATGTCTCGGTGGATAAATGTGCTTGCTGCCAAGCCAGATGATCTGAGTCTGATCCCTGGGTGCGCATGGGAGAGAGACCGGATTCTCCCAAGTTGTCCTCTGATATCCAAATATTTATTATGTGTGCACACCATGATACAGGTCCATACACACATAACAAATAAATTCAACAATTAAAAAGAATCCTAATCTACTCAGCTACTAACTCTATGGGTGTTTGACAAGGCTTTTGCATTTAAGGACATTGATTTTCATGTTTGTAAGTCAAAATATTTGCACTACAACTTTCTTAGGAACCTTTCTAGCTGCCCTAATACCACAAATCTCTGGGATCTACAATTGAAAGGGAGAAAAAGTTTGCATTTGTACAAGGAGAATGAAGAGATGGCTAAACTGTTCAGAACATTTATTATTCTTTCAGAGGGCCAGAGTTCAGTTTCTAGCATCTACCTCAGGTGCCTCACAACCACCTATCTATAAGTTGAACTTCAGGGAATCCAGTGCCCCCTGCAGGCACCCACAAGCATGTGCACACAAACTCTGACTTTTAAAAGGGGGTTACATTTTTATGTCTCTTAATTTGTAACTTTAATTAATTCAATATTAGTTTTTTTTTTTAATTTTCCGAGACATGGTTACTCTGTGGCTTTGGAACTTGTCCTGGAACTAGCTCTTGTAGACCAGGCTGGTCTCGAACTCACAGAGATCCTGCCTCTGCCTCCAGAGTGCTGGGATTAAAGATGTGCACCAACACCGCCCAGGCTCAATATAATTTTTTAAAAAGCAATGTTAAACTCTAGTTTTTCTTTTGTTACAAATTATTTTCCCAACCAAATCACATTTCCTCTCCCTCCCCTTCCTCCTCTCCACCCAGACCCTCCCTCTAACCTGCCCTCTTCTCCCATCTACTCCTCCTCTTTTCTCTTCAGAAAAGGGCAGCCTTACTATGTTTATCAGCCAGCTGTGGCCTATCAAGTGGCTGAAAGCCTAGGCCCCTCCTCTCCCATTAAAACTGAACTAGTCAATCCAGTAGGAAGAAAGGGTTGCAAAATCAGGCCACAGAGTAAGAGACAGCCCCTGCTTCTACTGTTAGGATTCCCATAAGAAGACCCAGCTACACAACTCTAAAGTATTGCAGAGGGACTAGTACAGTTCCATGGAAGCACTCTGGTTGGCGGCTCAGTCTCTGTGAGGCACTATAAGCCTAGAATAGGTGATTCTGTGGGTTTTCTTGTGGTGTCCTTGGCCCTCTGTTCCATAATCCTTCCTCCACCTCTTCCACAGGATTTGAGGTCCATCTAATGTTTGGCTGTGGATCTCTGCATCTGTTTCCATTAGTATCAGGGTGAAGGATTACATTTTCTTTTTCTTTTCTTTTTTATAATATTTTTTAAATTTAAATTTGCAACAAGCTTGTTTTACATGTTAATTCCAGTCCCCTCCCCTCCCCTCCTCCCCTGTTCCCTTCCCATCCCCCATCCTATTCCCTCTCTGCTCCCCGGGGAGGGTGAGGCCTTCTATAGGGCATCTTCAAAGCCTGTCATATCATTTGGAGCAGAGCCTAGGCCCTCCCCATGTGTCTAGGCTGAAAGAGTATCCTTCTGTATGGAATGGGCTCCCAAAGTCCATTTGTAAACTAGGGATAAATACTGATCCACTATCAGAGGCCCCATAGACTACTCAGTCCTCCTAACTAACACCACATTCAGGGGGGTCTGGGTCTATCCTATGCTGGTTTCCCAGCTATCAGACTGGGATATATGAGCTCCCCATTGTCAGGTCAGCTGATTGTGTGGATTTCTCCAGCCTGATCTTCACCCCTTTGCTTATGACTCCTCAACTCTCTGCAACAGATTCCAGGAGTATGGCTCAGTGCTTAGCTGTGGCTCTCTGCTTATCTTCCATCAGCTACTGGTTAAAGGCTCTAGGATGGCATAAAAGGTAGTCATTAATCTCATTATCAGGGAAGGGCATTTCAGGTAGTCTGTCCACTATTGCTGTTAGCTGGAGTCATCTTTGTAGAACTTTGGACATTTTCCTAGTGCCAGATTTCTCTTTAAAGTTATTTATATCTATTATGGTATCTCTTTTCTTGCTCTCCTCTATTCTTTCCCTGACTCAATGTTCCTGCTCCCTCATGCCCACCTCTCCCCTCCTCTTCTCCCCTCCTCTTCTCCCCTTCCCTTTCTCCTCACTCCCTTTCACCTCCCCACATGCTCCCAATTTGCTCTGAAACATTGTCCCTTTCCCCTCCTCCAAAGGACCATGTATGTCACTCTTAGGGTCTTCCTTTTTTCCTAGCTTTTCTGGTGGTGTGGATTGTAGGCTGGTGATCCTTTGCTCTATGTCTAAAAACCATATATGAGTGAGTACATACCATGTTTGCTTTTTTTGTGACTGGGTTACCTCACTCAGGATGGTTTCTTATAGTTTCATCCATTTGCCTGTGAATTTCAGTTTTCCATTTTTTTAAGTGCTGACTAGTTCTCCATTGTGTAAATGTACCACATTTTCTCCATCCATTGAGGGGCATTTAGGTTGCTTCCAGATTCTGGCTGTTACAAATAATGCTGCAATGAACATAGTTGAACAGATGTCCTTGTTGTATAAATGTGCATCTTTTGGGTATATGCCTAAGAGTGGAATTGCTGGATCTTGTGGTAGACTGATTTCCATTTTCTCAAGGAACCGCCATACTGATTTCCAAAGTGGCTATATGAATTTGCACTCCCACCAGTAGTGGAGGAGTGTTCCCTTTTCTCCACATCCTCTCCAGCATAAACTGTTTTTGGTGTTTTTGATTTTGCCATTCTCACAGATGGAAAATGTTATCTCTGAATTGTTTTGATTGAAGGTTTTTCTATCTTGTTGATTGTCTTGAAGAACCAACTCTTTGTTACACTGATTCTTTGTATCGTTTTTCTAGTTTTTACTTTATTGATTTCAGCCCTCAATTTGATTATTTCCTGGTGTCTAGTCTTTAAGGGTGAGTTTGCTTCTTTTTTTTTTCTAAAGCTTTCAGTTGTATTGTTAATTCTCTAATGTGACTATTCTCCAGTTTCTACATGTGGGCACTTAGAGCTATGAACTTTCCTCTTAGCACTGCTTTCAAAGTGTCCTATAAGTTTGGGTATGTTGTGTCTTCATTCTCACTGAATTCTAGAAAGCCTTTCTTTCTTTGTTTCTTCCTTGACCCGGGAATTGTGCAATTGCGCATTGTTCAGATTCCATGCTTTTGTAGGGTTTCTGCAATTTGTGTTGTTGAATTCTAACTTTAAAGCATGATGGTCTGTTAAGATACAGGGGGCTATTCCAGTTTTTTGTACATATTGGGGTTTGCTTTATTGCCGAGTGTGGTTGATTTTAGAGAAGGTTCCTTGTGGCACAGAGAAGAAGGTATATTCTTTTATGTTTGGGTGGAATGTTCTATAAATGCCTGTTATAACCAATTGATTCATAACTTCTCTTAGTTCCTTTGTTTCTCTGTTAAGTTTCTGTCTGTTGGACCTGTCTAGTGTTGAGAGTGGGATGTTGAAATCTCCCACTTTAAGTGTGTAAGGTTTTATGTGTGAGTTGAGTTTTAGCAATGTTTCTTTTACGAATGTGGGTGTCATTGCATTGCAGGTATAGATGTTCAGAATTGAGACTTCATCTTGATGAATTTCTGCTGTGATGAATAATGAGAAGTGACCTTCTCATCTCTTTTGATTGATTTTAGTTTAAAATCTAATTTGTTAGATATTAGGATTTCTATGCCCGCTTGTATTTTGGGTCCATTTGATTGGAAAATCTTTTCCCAATCCGTAACTCAGAGGTAACATCTGTCTTTGAGGTTGAGGTATATTTCTTGTATGCAGCAGAAGGGTGGATTCTGTCTTAGTATCCATTCTGTTAGTCTGTGTCTTTTTATTTTTCTTATTTTACATATTGTTTCCAGTTCCCTCTCCCTCCCACCCTATCTCCCTTTCCCCTCCCTCCCATGCCCCTGACAACCCTCCCATCCCATTTCCCCCCCCCCCACTCCACAGGGAGGATGATGCCTTCCAAGAGGGGCAATAAAGTCTGTCAATTCATTTGGAGTAGGAACTAGGCCCTCTCTCCTGCCTCTAGGCTAAGGGAGTATCCCTCCATGGGGAATGTGCTTCCAAAGTCCTTTTGTGCACCAGGAATATATCCTGATTCCATTGTCAGAGGTCCTTTAGACTGCCCAGGCCTTCTGAGACCCATGTTCAGGGGGTCTGAGTCGGTGCAATGCTGGATTCCCAGCTGTCAATCTGGGGGTGTCCATTAGCTCCTCCTTGTTCAGGTAAGTTGTCTCTGTAGGTTTCTGTAGCCTGGTCTTGTCCTCCCTCTCTGCATCTGGATTCCAGTTTGGCTCAGTGTTTGGCTGTGGGTGTCTGCTTTTGTTTCTATCAGCTACTAGATGAGGGCTCTATGATGGTGGATAAGTTAGTCATCAATCTCGTTATCAGGGAAGGACATTTATGGTAGCCTTTCCACTGTTGCTCAAATTGTTTGATGGGGTCAGTCAGTCTTGTAGGTCTCTGGACATTTCTCTAGAGTCAGTTTTCTCTTCAAACCTATAATGGCTCCCTCTTTTATGGTCTCTCTCTCTCTCTTTTTATCTTGTCTATTTCTCCCCTGACTCAATCTTCCTAGTCCCACATGCTTTACTCTCCTCCCCTTCTCTTTCTCGTAGCTCCCTCTCCACTCATTGTCCCCCTCCTCCACTCCCCATATGCTCAGGAGATCTTGTTCTTTTCCCCTCCTGTGAGGGACCTTGTATGAATTTCTTAGCTTCCTCCTTGTATCCTAGTTTCTCTGGCTGGTGATCCTTTGTTCTATGTCTAAAATCCATATATGAGTGAGTACATACCATGTTCCTGTTTTTGTGACTGGGTTACTCCATTTAGGATGCTTTCTTCAAGTTCCATTCACTTGCCTGTGAATTTCAAGATCCCATTGGTTATGTTTGTTTGTTTGTTTTGTTTTCCCTGCAGAGTAGTATTCTATTGTATAAATGTGCTACATCTTTATCCATTCTTCAGTTGAGGGGCATCTAGGTTGCTTCCAGGTTCTGGCTATTACAAATAATGCTGCTATGAACATAGTTGAGCACATGTCTTTGATGCATGGATGTGGATCATTTGGGTATATGCCTAAGAGTGGGATTGCCAGATCCTGTGGTAAACTAATTCCCATTTTCCTGAGGAACCGCCATACTGATCTCCAAAAATGGCTGTACAAGTTTGCACTCCCACCAGCAGTGGAGTCAGGCGAGTTAGGACCATTAATATTGAGGGATAATAATGACCAATGATTGTTAATTCTTGTTTGTTTGGATATTTTGTTGTTGGTGGTATTATGTGTGGATTCCCCTCCCCATTTTTCTTTTGGCTGTTGATTAAGTGGGATTTTCTATTGCCTATGTATTTGTGTGTATAGTTGACTTCCTTGGGTTGGAACTTTCCTTCCAGAACTTTCTGTAGGGCTGGATTAATTGATAAATACTGTTAAATCTGGTTTTGTCATGGAATATCTTGGTTTCTCCATCTACAGCTTTGTTGGGTATAGTAGCCTGGGCTGGCACATGTGGACTCTTAGTGTTGGTAGAACATCTATCCATGACCTTATGGCCTTCTGAGTTTCCATGGAGAAATCATGTATACTTCTGATAGGTTTGCCTTTATATGTTACTTGGCCTTTTTCCTTTCCTGCTCTTAATATTTCTTCTTTATTCTGTATGTTTTGTGTTTTTATTATTATGTGGTGAGGGGTCATTTTTGTGGTCCACTCTATTTAGTGTTCTGTAAGCTTCTTGTACTTTCATGTCTTTCTTTAGGTTGGGAAAGTTTTCTTCTATGATTTTGTTGAATATATTTTCTGTACCTTTGAGATGGTTTCTTTGCCTTCTTCTATACTTATTATTCTTAGTTTTGGCCTTTTCAATGGTGTCCCATATTTCCTGGCTATTTTGTGTTAGGGATTTTTTGGACTTAAGGTTGTTTGATCAATCTATTTCTCCTAGTGTATTTTCAATGCCTGAGATTCTCTCTTACATCTCTTGTATTCTGTTGGTTATGCTTGAATCTGTAGTCCCTGATTGTTTACCCAGCTTTTCTATTTCCAGCATTCCCTCAAACGTGTTTTGTTTTTTTTTTTTTTTTTTTATTGTCTCTATTTCAGCTTTCCAACCTTGGACTATTTTAATTGTTTCTTGCACTTTTTTTGTTTGTCTTTTCTTCCATTTCATTAAAAAGTATTTTCTCATTTCCTCTTTTAGGGTCTCTATCATTTTCATGAAATTGTTTTTAGGGTCATTCTCTTCTGCTTCATCTGTGTTGGGAAGTTCAGGTCTTGCTGGTGTGGCGTCCCTAGACTCTGGTGGTGTCATATTGATCTTTCTGTTGTTGGTTGTATTTTTATACTGTCGTCTACCCATCCCTTCTTCCAGTGCATACCAGTGGGGTCTCTCCATCTCCTGGTGGGTACGGGACCAAGGTTCTTTTCTGGTGTGTGCAAGCAGGTCCAATACTCTGGTTCTCCTCTTCCAGTGGGTAGAGGTGGGAGTCGGGCACTGACAGACTCTAGATGGGTTGGTCTGCTGGGATGGGTTACCTCCTGAGCAGTCCCCAGGAGGCTCTGAGCAGGGCATGCTCCTTCTATGGATAGAGGTGAGACCAGGACGGAGGCATATTCTGGACAGGCCAGTCTGCCTTGATGGGCTCCCCTGTGAATGTACAGTCAGTCCCCAGTCCTCAGGAGGCTCTGACAGGATTGCATTTTCTTTTCTTTTCTTTTTTTTTGAACATTTTTTAAAATTAAATTTGAAACAAGCTTGTTTTACATGTCAATCCCAGTTTCTACATCCTTCCATTGTCCTTCCCTACTCCCCCCACCACTCCCCACCATGTCCCATCCCCTTGCTGCTCCCCAGGGAAGAAAAGGATTACATTTTCTTAATTAGATCCTCGTGATATTTTCCACCATATCAGCTCACCAAAAAACACTTCTTTTTGGTTTGAAAAGAACTGGGCCCAATGTTCTTTAATGTTTGTTTCCTTGATGGATGTATGATGCTTAGTCAGCCCAGGTATTGTTCCAGTGCACTCTTAACCTTAAGTGGTTTATTGACACTACTAAAAGGGCAATTACACATGCAGTGTCAGCATTTGCAGACATGAGAAGCACTGAACATGACATTATACAAAGCCTTTGATGGTGATTCATTATCAACAATTCGGAGTATTCTAATTTTTTTTCAATGGTTTCATTCACCAGAATATGCACAAAACGGTCTCCACAAATATGCTACTGTTGCTGACGGAGGACAGTGATTGGCTGTGTTTCCAATGTCCTCACAGAAATTTGAAATAAACACAAACTGAGATAATCATGTCCATTTAATTTCCAGTTCTTGCAGTGTGCATCCAAGTGAGATAGAGAGGCTAGAAGTTCTCCAGAAGTTCACTCTTGGGCTATGTGCTCAGTGTAAATTCTTGCCCTCATCCCTACTTGTGCAACTGCAACAGTTTGCATGCTCCTCCAGTCCCTTCCTCTCAAGGTTTTGATGGGCTTTGTTGGATTCCAAGTTGAATACATTCCGCTCCTCAGAGCCGTTTCCATTGGGCACATATCTCCTTTAGCGTTTGTGGGATGGAAGGAAGACAGATGCAAAACTCGCTAAAATCCTAGATGCTGCTATGCCATTTCAATTCACAAAACATTTGTGGAGATGATGCTACTCTCTTTTAGGTCCCACCATGGCTTTCCACTCCAAACACGTGGACCCCAATTTCTACAAGCTGGGGGAAAATGAGATCGAAGTGAGTCTTGATTTTGAAGAAGAGGATACTACGACAGCAGAAAATGGCACCTTTGGTAAAGTTTCTCTAAATGGTTCAGACAAATCAAAGAACCATGGCCTCCCAGACCACAAGGATGATGTGATCCACTCTGCAGTCTTCAACTCCCTTGCTGACAACAACAAAAATGAGAGCCCCCAAGGGTCTGGACACCCACAGATGGAGGGGCAGGAGAAAATGGCTGCTTCCAGAGTTCCGCGAGTCCGCCGCAGAAGGCCACGGATCCAGTTTGGTCTCACCCCCAGGCAGCTGAGTGAACTGGAAGACGTTTTTGAAAAAACTAAGTACCCTGATGAGATCATAAGGTATGGGGTTTGTTTCAGTAGCTATCACAGCCCCTCTCTACCCTGGGGCTCCTATCTGCTTTGAGCCCCAAGGATGGAGGCCTTTCCCTGTTTTGTTGCTGGGTATGGGAAGGATGTTTTGTGAGGGCAAAGTCAATATATCCATGCAGTGTTATATGGATTGATTCTAAAAACTTGTTTGTGCCTCTCAATTCCTTCATTCAGTTTTCTTTTTGTTTATGTATCTTTTTTTCCTCTTCTTCCTCCTCCTTCTCCATGCTCCCCTACCTTTCGTAATGGGAATTGAACTCGAGACCTAGTAGTTTTTAAGCAATCCTTCTACTACTATATCATCTTTCCCTTGTGTTAATTAATTAATGTGTTTATTGTAGTAAAACAGAGATAAATGAAAAGCCACTTCAATACATTAGAGCTCACTATCTTTACATATTTTTGTGTTGGTATGTGATCCACCTCCAAAAGTCTCTTCATCTTGCAAAGCTTAAATGCTGTATTCCTGTAACAGCTCCACTTTCCCATTTTATTTCCACAGGAAGGACCTTGCCAAGCGCTTGTTCCTTGGAGAATCCAGAGTGAGGGTCAGTAAATCTGAAAAGGCTTTGGGCAGGGCACTCTGCTTCAGGGCATGGACCATTTTCTTGTAGCCATTATGAAAATCAGTCATGGGTGGAAGGTGTCCTTGTCTGATTTATAATGGCAAACAAGCATTGAATCTTGCAATTTTTCAGAGATGAAAGTGGAACCAGCACCCAGCTGCTTATGCTCCTTTCCTATTACTGAAGGCAGCATGATCTCTTAATTGAAAAAAAAAAAAACAGACTACTTATAATCAGTATGTGAATATCAGATATATAGACAGCAGTGAATATTGTAATGTCATGAATATAGGAAGACATAAATGTTTACTGATATGTCTGCAGTGATTAATACTGAAGTCTTGATACTCAGGTCATTTTAGGACACTCATGTGTAAGATCATAGGTAGGGCTCCAAGTGACCTTGGGGGCACTCTGATTGATGTTGTGAGCACAGGATTCAAAAAGGCTCAGTTGCAACAAATACACACTTAGCTAAAAGCATGAATTAATTGAGGCAAGGGAGAAATTCTCCCAAGACACACAGTTTTTGAATAAGTAGCCTCTATCTAGTTACTGAAGTCATATGGGAAGACACATGGTTGGCTCTCCACCTTTTTAAACTTGTGGAAATGTAATGGAGACAGCAACAAGGCTGAATTTTCGTGTTCCCCCACGCTGTGTTTTGTCTAACTAAAAACATTGCGGATGATAGCTTTGGAACTGTGTGCTAAAATTAAACAAAAAGAATAACTCGAATTAATTTCAGTTCATCTAATAAGGACAACATGAGCAGGGGAAATTATGCAGTCAAAATGCAGGTTGGGGCTGAGGAGAGGGCTCAGTGGATAAAGCACTTGCAGCATGAGTCTGAGAACCCGATTTGGGAATCCTCAGCACCCTAAGAGCTCAGCAGGTGTGTCAGCTCACCTGCAGTCATTATCTCAGCTTCACGAGGCAGAGATTATCACTTTAGGTGATCTAGACTAGCTTAAATGCTGATTGACCCTGCCACTGTAAGGAGGAGCAATCTAGGAAGATGCTTGATTCTGATCTCAGTCCTCTGCAAGCACAAGTGTGCATGTGCATCACACACCATCCACATAAAAAGGCTACTATGAGCTCTCCCTTCTTCTCCATTATAGGCACATAGCCAAAGGGTAGCATAGACTAGTATACATCCATTTTTCACATGGCTTTCCAGTGAGTCGGAGGAGTCTAACTGTTAGTTCAAGCAAGACAGGTAATTTGAGGGCATGATGCAGAGAATGTATAAAATTGTAATTCCTGAAGGACCTTTTCTATCCAGTCTTCTTCATATCCTGATTTTCTGACCCTTTCTCCCTTTCTTAGACTAATATTGTTCTATTCCTAGAAAGGACAGGAGATCAAAGGTACACCCTAAAAATAGTTTTCTGAATTCCTATATCCAGGTTTCAGGTTGATACGGATTTTGCATATCCTGGGTTAATAAAGTCTTGTCAGACTTTAAGGTGTCCAAAGTCCAAATAATGGTCCATCTGCCATTGTCCTCAGTGGCCTTTTTTCAAGGGATGATGCCAGCTACTCTGGCAACAGTTGGGGTGGTGACGATGAGTGGGTAGGGTCCCTTCCAGACATATTACAGGGCCAGGCAGGGACTCTCTTAACTAAACCAAGTCTTCTGGGTAGGACTGGCTCAGACATGGGAGATAGCAGGATGCTCTTCACAGTCTGTTCAATAGCCTGGCAAGCTTCTTATAAAGCCTACAAGGACTTGGCAAGGGAGTACTTAGACATTTTTGCCTGGGGACTCTCTCAGAGTTTGGGGAGAATGGGAGGAAGTCACCCAAACTTAATTTTGAAAAGTGTAAGCCCTCTTGGAATGGCTTAGTAATGTCTGGCAGGGTCAGGGTTGGGAGGGACACCAGGGATTTTCTCAAGGCTTTAAAGCGCATCTGTTCAGTCTCAGTACATCCCAAAGGCTACATACCCGCAGTGCTGGCATAGAGAGGCTTGGCTGGCTCAGCAAATCCAGTTATCCATAGGAAGCAGGATTCAACCATCCCCAGGTTGATATGAGAGTGGTTTTTCAAGTTGGCTAAAATAGGCCTTCCTCTAGGTCGTAGCCTCAGTTTATGTCCTGAAGGATGCACAGATGAGCTTTCTTGCCTTAGACACTGTCCCTCTGATCTTGAAGGACCTCTAAAATGCCCTTCTGTTAGCTGTCTGCACTCCTCATCAGTGGTCAGAGCTATGAGGAGGCCATCCACACACTGTAGCATGGTGCTTTATGGATATTTTCCCCCTTAAACACCAACGGGCTGATCATCAGTGGCACACGCCTTTAGTCCCAGCACTCAGGAGGCAGAGGCAGATGGATCTCTGTGAGTTTGAGGCCAGTCTAGTCTACAGAGTGAGGGCCAGGACAGGCTGCAAAACAATAAAGATAAATCCTGTCTCGAAAAACCAACCAAACAAACAAACAAAACCAGTGGATATGCACTCAGGGCTCATCAAATGATGCTGGTGAATCCCTGAACCCCTTCTCCCTATCTGTTTCTCTGATTTTTTTTCTCTTGTCTATTTCCCCAAGGGCAATGATCACTTCGTGGGAGAGTTTCTTTCCCTCTTTATCAGTATCTTGAATTTCAGCTGTTGTAAACTTTCTGAGCAATTTCTGAGCACTTGGAAACAAGCAGTTTTAATAGAAGCCAGTTAAGTGGTTACCTGGAGGGGGTGTTCTGAACAAACAGGCAGTTTAAAAGAAACTAAGATTAGGTAACTAAGACATCTTGACCTTTTGTCAAGATAATAGAGTTGCATAATTTTTTTTCCTGGTATTCTCCATCAAGGAGATCAAATTCCAGCTAACTCTGAAATGGCCTCAGCAATAATACAAGATGGAGGAACCTTTTTATTGTATTGTCCTGGCACAACGTTTCTCATTTTCAAGCCCAAGTCCTGCATGAGTTTGAACCAGACAAAATTCCAGCACCAAGAAAAGGATGTGAACAGAAAGTCCCACCCCTAAGGAAGAAATTATGTGCAGTTGATATCTTCTGGGAAAGAGAACATATTTTTTTTTTTTTTTGGCATGGAGCATCACTGGGTGTGTATACACTCTGGGTCAGGGCCCGTGCCCAGGAATAGTTCTGGTTGACTCCGTGTTTTCTGTAGGCTTTTTGTTTCATTTTTTGTTTGTTTGTTTTGATTTTATTTTGTTATTGTCTTATTTTTTGAGAGAGAGAAAATGAACATGGGTGGGTAAGGAGGTAAGTATGGAAAAACAACCAAATATATTGTATGAAATAATTTTAAAGAAAACTCATACACATACATACATACATACATACATACATACATACATACATACATACGATTATTCTGTTCAATATAAAGCCTCACTGGCATGTACTTACACAGTGATTTTTTTCTAGTTGTGATATTGACTGTTGAATATTTTAAAGCCATTTATTTCACCGTGTAATTGCAGAGTTGGTTTAAGAGACGAAGAGCCAAATACAGGAAAACTCAGCAGTCTCTAATGCTCCAGTGTGAATCTGCTGATAGGAGTTCTGAAGCATCATCCTGTCCAAGCACCAGATGAAGACAGGATATTCTGATGTCACTGACACATTAAGAGCTTATAATGGCTGTGAAACCTTTTCCCTTCAGCAATAAAGAGATTTACATTCAATATATTTGTTATTTTTGGGGGGATTTGGAAGTTGTGCATGGCAGTTATTGAGAAAATATCATTTAATTGGAAGGACAAAGAAACTCTGAGTCATCTTTCTTACTCCACAAATTACAAAAGTCTCTCAAGAGCCATAGAGATCCTCACGCAGACTATATTTCTCTTTGTTGTCACATTATACTATCTTCACCTTATTCCTTGACCCTATGGTTGCAAGTACATACAAACAGGGACAGGGCAAGTCCCCAGTAAGAAGACTGTTCACAAAGAGAGCTGACTTCCACCAGTACTTAGGAGTTCACTCTTATCCTGTATCAAATACACAAAGAGGACATTCTGAGCATTTATGGTAGGAATATGAACAGTCACTTCTGCTGCCCCCAGGTCTGTTCACTGTCCTTCCTTTCAATGGGGCAGCCATGGTACTAGGAGTCATTCTGCCATAGATCCTCCTCTTTCAAAGCAAACACAAATGCCCATCCCATGATTAGAAAGAGGCTTCCTCTCTCTTTTCATCCATATGCACAAGAGGCATATTGACCCATTCCCCTCGGGTCAGGCCAGAGAGGCAAAGGATTCTCAGCCGATGCACCAGACCAAGTTAGGGATAGACATAGGATGCAAGGTTCAGGGCATGCAGGGAGCAATGGGCTGTGTTTTCCCAAGGGTAATCAGAGGAAAGCTAGTGTAGAAAGTGCATAGAGAAGCATGTGCCTGAGTTCCAGGAGGGAGAACACATCAAAGGGGCATTAGCATGGTTGTATATGGCATGAAGGTAGAGTTCATGGTTCTATAAGAATTTGACAAAGGCATGACCTGATTTTGATGCTGTGATCACTTGTGAACTATGACAGACTCTAAAACAGGGGTGGAGTAACGTGTGTTGAATGCCTCTTTTGGAAACAGGTTAAGTGGAAATCTGGAATATGTAATAGAAAAATGGCTAAACAGGTCTATGTACTGAGTGGATACACATCTAGAAGTCTTGTATGACAGAGGAAGTGCATATAGAATGGGAGTGGCTGTTAGGGACGTTTGTGGATAGTAGAGGCATGGGAGAAAGATGGAGGACATGGATGCACAGAACAGAGTGTCTAGAGGCCAGATAACATGTGTACTGGGTGGTTTTGTGTGTCAACTTGACACAAGCTAGAGTCATCCGAGAGGAAAGAGCACAAGTTGAGGAAATGCCTCCATGAGATCCAACTGTAAGGCATTTTCTTAAGTAGTAACCAGTAGGCAAAGGCCCAGGCCACAGTGGGTGGTGCCATCCCTGGGCTGGTGGTCCTGGATTCCATAAGAAAGCAGGACTTTGGTTATGGTGTTTTATCATAGCAATAGAAAGCATAATTAGGGCAACATCCTTTTACTCTAAGCAAGGCTGGGAACATTGATCACTGATGCTGGAGTAGGAAGCCCCAGGATGAATGCTGGACTTAGGGGCATGGGAAGGACACAGAATGAAGGGGTAGACAGATCCCTATGCAGGCATAGGTTGAGTATGTGAGGTGAAGGCAGTGAGAAAGACCCCTGGGGGTCTACTACCTTGGAATGCAGACAGGTTCTTAGTCTAGTCTTGAGTACTGGAGAGTGACTGTCCACACAAAGTGGGCCTGGTGTATCAGAGCCCAACAAATGTTCTTTGTTCTCCATACAGATCAAAGAACAATGAGAAGGGGGTCCATTGCTAATAACCAGGTTCTGGTATGGGGCCAGAGTAAGCACCCACAATTCCACATGCCAGGAGAAGGGGAAAACATATGTTGCTAACATACAAGTGGGAAGATAATCTCATTGGGATCTGTGTTCCTTATCCAATGACTGCAATTCTCATGACAAAACATTCAAAGCCAAAACATATCTCTTGGGGCCATGCAATAATCCATAATAAGGGCATAGAGATATAGTGCAGCAATACTCTTTCATGGCTCATTTCCCAGAACTCATGTTGTCTCATGATCTCCTGGCACTCCAACTCCAGGGGATATGCCATTGTCTTCTGGCCTATACAGGCACCTGCATGCATACATGCACAGATTCATGCACTTAATTTCAAAAAGAAAGTCCAGATTGACAGGTCTAGACAACAGATCATCAGCCCTGGTTCTCTGTGTCCCAGGATCCTTTCTGTTCCTGCCACCATCAGCATATAACTAGTGTAAGGTGTTTTTCATATATGTATCTGGATAGGAACATGGTTGGTGAGAAAGTTCAGCAGGGGTTTCATTTCTGTTGCTGTGACCAAATAATGTGACAAAAAGTAACACATGGGAGAAAGGTCTTATTTTAGCTCACAATTCCAGGTGACAGACTGCAAGGAAGTCAAGGCAGAAGGAACTTAAAATAGCTGGACATATATAACGTTCCCAGTCAAGAGTAGAGAGAAGTGAATGCATTTATGCTTGCTTGCTTGTTTTTGCTCATGGAAATGTATTCTTTTGTATGTAGTTCAAGATTCCCCTAGCTAGAGAATGGTGCATCCAAAATTGAGCTACGCTTTCCTATAACAACTAACAAGACAACCTCTCACCGGCCAAGCAATGTACATAATCTATCATTGAGACTCTCTTCCCAAGTGATTATAAGTTGTGTCACGTTGACAAAGCAAAATATCACAGAAGGCAAAGGTGCTTGTCACCAAGATAGCTGACCTGAAATTCACCCCCCCCCCAGGATTTACATGGTGGAAGGAGAGAACCAGCCCCTGCAAGTTGTCCTCTTATCTCCACACCAGGAAGGGTCGCCCCCATAAAGTAATGATAATAATAAAATAATAATGGCTAATAATGCCGTTACATACTATAATACATGTGCTGTGTGATTGAGCTTGCCTAGCTTGTTCCAGGTCCTCATTTACTGTCTAGTCCCATCAAGGAAGTTGAAATACTGTCATTGGGCAAGCACAGGTTTCAAACATTAAAGAAGGTCTCAACTAAAAGTATCTATCTTTCTGACTGATATTCACAGGGGGCTGTATTTGCCTCCAGCCCCCAGCTTTGTCAAGGCCTACACAGCAGCCAAGCACTGGGAGGCTTGGATTTGAGAGAGCAGATTTCCAGCAAGTTCTGTTCCTTCCAGGTTGCCAACTCCCAGACACTTCAGGCAGTGCCTCACTATCCCCCATCCCCACCCCCACACACTGGGATTCATAGTTGTGACTGTCCTAGATTTGGTGACATGAAATTGTTCCTCGGTTCACCCAGCTCTGCTCTCCCTACCCTGACCACTGAGGCCCTCTAACACAGGGGGGCCAAGGCAGGAGGGTTAGAGTGAAGGACACTGCGACTTCACTCATCCTTATTTCAGCACCATCCTATGGCAGGCTGTTTTGTAGCAGTTTCCTTTGAGACTGTAACATTTCCACCATACAGGCTTGGGAGCACCTTAAGCAGGGTGATAACTCAAAGGGACTGTAAGAGCTCCCTGAAACTGACCCGAATCACCAGACTCCTTTCTGCCAGAGTAAATGATGAGAGCTGAGAGTCCCTCTCAGAGGAAGAAAATCTGAGCTGTTAGGAGAATCTCAGAGGACAAAAAGAAATAAACAAGACTAAGACCAGACCAGCTGCTTGGAAGAACATTTAACTAACCTAGGCACCTGGGAAGGACTTGCTCCAACCTGTTGAGCTGCCTGCAGGCTATGCAGTGTCCTTCAGGGTCCCAGGTTTTGTAAGCTGCCTGTCACCGGTGCTGGGGTGGGCTTTAGTGTTGCAGCTGTCTTTGAGTCATTTATGCTTCTGAAAGTAACCCCTCACATCTATAAGCAACCCCAGTAAAACCCATTGGTCTACCAAGTTGGACTTTGGTGGTATTCTTACTTTGGTCAATCAGGGGCTCCCTATCTGGGGTAAGTAGATGAATTTTTCATCTCTCCAGGATAAGTCTTGTCACAAAACACATGCAGGTAGCTTGAGGGCTTTCCAAGCAAAACATCTCATGAGATACCTAACTGGTGAGGTCAGGGCTGCCTAGATCAACAATCAGCATCTCATGGCAGCTCCGTTCCCTGTGATTAGGTACTTGTTTGTCCAATTCCGCATTCCCTCCTGTATTCCATTTTCAGATCTTCTTCAGTTAAAATTCAGCCAGAAGTTTCCATGACGTGAGAAGCTCCAGGGCATCCTGTTTTCCTTCTGGCTGCAGATTTCACAAAGATGGCTGTGGGAACACATGTCACTTCTACCTTGGCTATTTCTTCTCAGCATGATGGCAATGAATTTGTTCTTTCTGCTTTTGATTTTACTGAATACCTTTATTTGGTTTTAACATTGACAGGTGATACTTTATGTGCCTACAACTGCCGAGTAATTGAAAAAGAAATCTAGTGAATAGGAAAACATGCATTTTTCCATTCTCAAAATGTTGGCATGTGGGGAGGGGAGGGACAAGTCATTACAAAGACATGGTAGATAGTAAGGCAAATTTTAGCTGCAAATAAGAAATTCTTTTAAATTTTACTTTTACATTGATTTTACTTTATGTGTATGAACATTTTTCCTGCATTCATGTGTGTGCCTATACCTATGGAAGTCAGAAGGGGGTGGTGTATCCCTCTGGAAGCAAGGTTACAAATTCATGTGAGCCACCATGTGGATGCTGAACCCAGCTCTTCTTAGAGAACAGCTAGTACTCTTTACCACTGGGCCATCTCTCCAGCCTCCAAAATAATTTGTTTATCATAGATATGTCTCTAATAATGCATGTGGAATACACATCAAACAGGAACCTGTGTCTGTAGAGGCACATGCCTGTGGTGCCAGCATTTGAGAGCCTGAGGCAGACAGTCTAGAGTTCAAGTCAGCCTGAGCGACATACATTCTAAACACCATGCATTTAGTGTTTACCTCTATTTTACATTATACCTTAATGGTTCTTCAGTGAAACTAAAATTATAAAATTGATGTGTCATTATTTGATTTACAACGAGCTTGAACAATTGTCCCTTTTGGAATTAGTCCACAGATACTTACCCATGATTAAAGA